AAGATGAATTTACCCCGCATCGGTCCTAAATGTTTCCTGCAATCGTCTCCCAAGATGCAATGACCACGCCTTGTAATAGAGGCACTCCAAATTATGTAGACCAACGAATTCGAAACGAAAATTTTCTCTACCAACAACATGACTTTGATGCAATAAAAACCACTTTAATAAATTGTTTTTATGCAAACCAAAGAATGAATATGATATGGAATTATTTACAAGCAACAAAAGTACCCAATTTATATAAGGTGAGGGTTGTGGTCAAAGAGACACACCCCAAAACTCAACACATTTCATGAAGAGACACAACTCTTCATGATGCTCGCCTAGCATTGGCTGTGGTGTTCGAGTGCCCAATGCAGTGACCTGGCGCCAGTCTAACCTTCGAGCATTGCATATGCATATCCAAAAATCCATTTTCCTTCTAACTTTAGACAACAATCTCTCATTCATCCAGAATGGGTTTTGACATTTCAAAGATACTACAACCATCGATGAATAAAACAAGTTAGTCTATTTATTTTCATAATTTGACTTCGAATCAAGTCTGAATATTTGTCCAAAGTTGACACAAATCACTTTTTCATGGTGTTACTTAACGAAATTTCATCTTCTTTAAACCAAATTCTAGCAGCGACATCTCCAGCTCCACCCACATTTTGCACAAGAACAAGCATCCAATATGAAATCCCTTTTATCTCAAATTCAATCCCACCTCTCTTTTCACAGTTAACTTCTTGATAAGAAATGTGAACGATCCCAACTTTATATGTCAAAATTTTTAAGAACATTGACATTATTTATAAACAACAGTAGAATATACTTATGACAAATATCTTATAAAAAGACTAATAGGCGATGAATACAGATGTCGCGATTCTTTTTCACCATCCCCACAAACTAGGGCAACAAATAAGGCTAATTAGCACAAAACGTCCCTACTTTTGGGGTTGATTTCGGAAAGCGTCCCTACCTTTCATTTCTTGGCATTTATGCCCTTACCTTCAACGTTTTTATGCATCAGACGTCCTTTTCACTTCTTTTTTACGATTTTGCCCCTCCTTCAAATAAAACAAAAAGAAAAAAAAAACTAAAGAATTAATTGCAACTATAACCCTAAAATTTTAAAACCTACTACCAACTTCCTCTCCAATTACCACTAAACATTTCCTAATTTCACCAAGTACTCTGGCCGAAAATGATGTTCAAACTTTGCTGTCATCGCATCTGAAAATCGCCGGTAAATCAATCTCCGGCCATGAGTCCTCCCCCATTTGGATCTAATCCACCTGAATTTGGACTTGAAATGCTCGACTGCGTAAACTCGCGCGACCAGGACCAGAGGCTGAAATCCTTCAATTCTGGTGCCATCCTTCCAGACCAAGGTGGAGGACCTTCTGGGCTAGTCCCTCCTCACCCTGGTGCGCCTAGCCCAGATCTGGGTCAAGCCCAATTTCAACCCAAGCTCAACAAATTGCTGACTGAAATTCGTGTCCATTGCAAAAAATTCGGTACTGATGATTTTGATGATTCTTCTTTGCTCCAAATGGGTTTGATGGTGAAGCTAAATAACCCTACAACGGTTGTTAATTTCCGTTGATTTTGGTGGTGGTTGGCCGAAGTTTATGGCCATCAACGGTGGGGGCTGGTTGGGGGGCAAAAAAATTAGTATCTTGTAATTGAAAAGTAGGCTTTAGAAATTTGGGGTTATAGTTGCAATTAATTCTTTAATTTTTTTTTGAAGGAGGGGTAAAATCGTCAATTTTTCTTTTGTTTTATTTGAATGAGGGGTAAAATCGTGAAAAACATGTGAAAAGGACGTTCAGCGCACAAAAATGTTGAAGGTAAGGGCGTAAATGCCAAGAAATGAAAGGTAGTGACGGTTTCCGAAATCAACCCCAAAGGTAGGGACATTTTGTGCTAATTAGCCCAACAAATAATATACATCATAAACACTTTATTTATATATACATCAAATAATTGTGCGAAAATGTACATATGTTCAAAGTTAGGGGGGAGAAAAGAATAATATACATGAAAAATGAGCTTTATTTATCGGTCATAATATGTATTATTACTTTTACTTCATTAGTAAGGGAATAATCTTATTTAACAGTGATGTTTATCATATCATTTCTCACAAATTTAAAGTTTGCAGTCTTGATCACAAGAAACTAGTTGCACTTTACACACATGATTAATTTATACAGTTTACTTCATTTAGACTTGAACTTAGTATGTGAGAAAGTTTATGGATCATTGATTATGCTTGTGCATGCTATCAACTACATCTTTGAGTTTTTATATATTGTTGTTATAATCCCTTCGTCATTTCTGACAAAAAGGGAAAGATTAGTGTCATTGCATTTTAATTTTAATTTTGGAGAGTTGGCAGTAAGGGGGAGATATAATATTGGGAGTTTTTTTTTTTGGAATGCTTAGTTTTTTTGAGTTTTGACATTTTATGATATTACTGTTCCAGTTGGTGTTTTGATTAACATTAGTATTACTTCTCAATCTAGCTAGCATATTTATGATAATCTATTTCAATTATTATATTACTTGTATCGGTGCATTTATATTTGGTATTTGAGTTGTTGATTTCAGGAAACATGTTTCAAAGCATTGAAGAGACACACATTCAGTTTGAGTTTGGATAGATTAGTGTTTCTTTGGCTTCGAGTATGGAACAAGGATTAGTGTTTCTTTGAGTTGTTGATTTTAGGAAACATGTTTCAAAGCATTGAAGAGACACACATTCAGTTTGAGTTTGGATAGATTAGTGTTTCTTTGCCTTCGAGTATTGAACAAGGATAAAGAGTCTCTGGATTTAGGTCGAGCGAAAAAAGTAGAATCATTGTTGCCCTCACGTCGTTCGAGTGACACACCTTTCGCTCGCTTGTCCTTTGAGCGACAGTGTTTTTCGAGAAACCCTAATTTGCATTTTTCAAGAGTTCTACATATCCTATATTACCTAAATACTTTTTATTATAAATACCCAATGCTCATTACATTTGTGTTGGTGGTTGATCATTATTTTGCATCCTTATAACATCAATCCAAGAACACATCCAAATATTGAGATTCAACTTTTGATTCTTAAGATCAGTCAACTACAAGTTGGAAAAATATCAAATTCATATAATCCAAAACACCCATTTCATAAACACATCAAGAATGTGCTTCTCAATAGCTTTCAAAGGTTGCTGAAAATTGAAAGAGGATGGACCGCAAGCACAAGAAGAGTACAAGAAAAAGATATTCTTGGTGATCCACAAGAGATAAACAATTCCAAAAGATCGGGAGCAGGTGTGAATGAAGCATGTTCCAACGGGTCTTGGAGATTGCAGAATTAGATCAGCGAGTCTAGTGGTTTTTTAGTTTGGATCATACTATAAGTTCTTATTATTTATAGTGGAAACTACTGGCTTAATCCCTGAGTTTTTTCCCAATTAGGGATTTTCTTCGTCATCAATTCTTTGTGTTATTTACTACTATATTTATTATTGTGGCAACTCAACACAGGATAAAATTGACTTGATTGATTAAACATTTAGAACAATCAAAAAGTAACTTGTTGCTTTTAATTAGTAATTTTAATTCCACATTATTCATCCATTAGGTGATTTTAAGATCGAACTAATAACTTTCAGTTGTATTTTGGGACAGTGGCAGACCCAACACAAAAGTTCAGCCGAGCAGACTTGACCATTGATCGTCGTTGATCGTAATCCAAATTCTAAATGTGGTTGTACGTTATCTACTAGTCTAATAATGTTTATCGAATAACAATTTGAAATTTAAAATTGGATCCAATTATTTACTTTCTTTGTTCAATTTGTTAATAATTTTAGTCTAACAGAAAGAAAAAAAAAGACTTTTAAAAGGTTGAATTTTAGTTAAAAAGTTTTAAAAACAATGAGGGAATATATTAATTATTTGATAAAAAAAATATAGCATTTTGTTACATAAAAGGTTACAAATGCCACAGTGGTCAAGTGCTTTATAATTCCAACGGAATTCAGAGGTTCGAATCCTCTAATTGTACCAATTTTTATAATAACTGTATGTTCCAAAATGGTGAGAAATTTTAACCTAAAATAATTGCCAAAAAATTGCTATATTTGAGAGAACCCACAACTTAGACCAACTGAACCACAAAAGCCTTTGTGAAAAAATGGAAATCACAGATATATATTTAAACAATAAATACATTGACCCAAAAAAATTGAATACCGGCGAATCCAGCACGGGTGGCCGCCAAAGCTCGCCAGGTGCTGGATCCGCCAATGTCTTGGGAGATAAATGCCGAAAAATCGTTAGCACCCTTGCGAGACATAATCGTCTCAAAGACAAAAAGTTCAACTCCTGTCTCGACCAATTCATATCGTTTGCATTTCATTGATTCTGGTTTTGAGTCCTTTCAACTCTTATTTCAGTTCCAAGTAAGATTTGAATTGATTCTTCCTGCAATTTTCAAATCAATTCTCATTTCTGTCTTTCATATTCGATCTCATGCACGTGAAGAGGTGCGTTATTCTCACTTCTGTCATTTGTTTATTTTGAGTTTGGTGCTAGATTCTGGACTGAGTTTATTCCCTTGTTTATTTTATCTGCTGTTCGCGGCGATTTACAATAATAAACTTTGGTTATTGTTAAAAAATATTTAATGAATTATCGAAAACAAATCTTAAAAAATGTCATTGTATTTTTAGAAAAATCTTTGTCATAGTAATATACTTTAAAATAAATACTAATGTTAAAGTATCGAGAATATTATAACCAATTAATCCTCAAGTACATGATTCATTTCACAGAGGCTTACCAGAATACTCAAAATATATTATAGAATAGAGCCCCAGCAGCAATTATTAGGAACAAATGAATATCGACAAATTAATACGTGGAAATTTTCAACTTTGCTTTGCAATCATCTGCAAATCTTATTACTAAGAACTAAAAAGAACATGACTATTCGCAAGACAAAAATAAATAAACCCCTAAAATAAACAGTCGTAAACTCTCCCTTTCTTCATTCTTACTAGCACCCATTCCATTGCCTGAAGAAAAAAAAAACAGAGAATAAAAAGGTGAGTGATGGAGTGTGTGATATGTAAACACGTGTTATCTAGTACAAATGGTGCTTAATATTAATTTAGACGGCGTGATTCCATTTAGACTTCTCTAACAAGAAAGATGTGTTTTTACCAATCATTGGTAATAAGACATTAATTGAACAAATCTAGATGGGTTCCTTGCCACTTAGGTTCTAAATACCAATGATTCTAAATAACATTGCTATATATATATGAACTATAGAGGGATGTACATACCTGTTGGTCATTGCCATTACTACTTGTAGATGCATTATTTCTTAATCGGTATTCTTCCATCGTCCAATTTGTTCGTTTTCCCTTAATTATAGGACCTTCAAAGTATCTCCAATGAGTTTTGAAAGCAAAAACATCGCCATTCGAGTTATAGATTAGATCTTCTACTAGAAGCCCTCTCCAAAAACCAATCCCATCTCCGACTATTCGAATTGTTTTCTTTTCTTCTTCTACATCACCATCATTCTTATGAGTGAAGAAATACCACGATTTTTCATGATCACACACATTCTCCACTGTAACATGAAGAATTAACAATTAAACACAATATTGAGTAAGAAAATAATTTAAATATCCTACTAAACCATATCATGTCTTTAGATTCTAAGTCTATATGTCATAAAAGATGCTCACAACCATCACTTTCTCCTAAAATGTTGCAGAAATACTCAAAATAGATTTAGTCCTGAACACACAAATTTGATCGATGTATCGATCTATATAGAGCTTAAGGAGAATCAGCACCATTAATATATTTGCAACTCTAGTTACCTAGAGTCTTGGGATGCTTGCTATAAATCTCGCCTGCATCGACATCTTTAATAACATCAAGTGGAATTGGCCCATTGCGCACCTTCTTCGCCAAATAGAACTCCATCAACTCTTCATCTTTTGGCACAAACCTATATCCAATGGGCAAGTCTATGATGTGCCCATATTGACTGCCCATTGCATTGGCTACACATAAAATAATCAAGAACTTATGATTTTTAATCATCAAGAAGTCTCGACAGAATTGAAATGAGAAGTGGTGAAATTGAGGACACGACACAAGTGAATATTTATAATTTTACTAATTTGAATCCTAATAGAATTAGGAAACATTAGACAACGTTAACATATCACTTTGTAGTGTTTCTGTCGTTATGACTTCTCATTTAGTTGGTGAAATGAATAATTGAAACGAAAATCCATGCAAAAATTGACCCATGTTAACTTGAATAGTCATTAGAATCCTAGTAGGATTTGAATACATGAGACAAGCTTAACAATACTTTTCAATGATTGGCAAGTAACAAATTCATCACAAATCAATGCCCTTTTTTACATATATCAATTAGAAACATGAATATATACATATAATTAAATGGGATTGTAGCAAATCAACTCCACTTTGAAGATTGAGTTGGGGTAACCCTCTTTTTTTGGATCTGCTACGTTAGTGGACTAGACACTAGAAGTTCGTAGCTCACCTGGGAGGCCTTATATTTTTATATTTTATAAATGACCAAAAAAGTAACTATAAAAATTAAAAAGACGTTGTTAATATATAATATATTAAATATCGCTAAGAGAGAATCATTTTTTGGAAGATTCTAGTTCAACTACAATTCAATTATTTCAATTATACATTCATCTTCATTTTGTAATATGTGTTTTAATATTTAATTATACATTTCATTATTTACGTGTATGTATAATAATTAATATTTATTTTCAAGAGCTTGCATTACTCTCATATGTGTAAATTAATTCTTCAAGTTCTTGTAAACTTTATATTTTTGGGGGCTATTCAATTACATTGAGAGTAAATAAATTATTCAAGTTCATATACACTTATTTATTTTCAAGAATATTCTTTATATTCATTAATCCAACTTAACTAAATTCCTTCATGAACATTGGTGGACCTACACTGGGTGCTGGTGGGTCACGTGGCCCATCAACTTTCAACATAATTTTTTTAAAAATCAAAAATCATTATTGTGAATAAATGCCCTATTTTTAATTATTAGCTCTCATTGGGAAAAAAAAAATGTGGTTTCCTTCGTCTTTGTCTCTGTTACGCCTCTTCTAATGAAGTTTCAAATAATAGCCATGTGATAGCTAGCTTGGAAGCTCAATTAGGCTCGCACTTCGCATCACTGTCATACTTGGCTGAGCTCAGGCATACAATAAGGTAGCCAAATTGATGCATCATCCCAACCTAGGGGCCATATAGAGACCGACCATCCATGACTTAGGCGAGGTGTTATAACCTATTGCAGAAGTGATCCGAGGCAATTAGCCTCGGGAAGACATCTCCAACTTCACCTCTTCCAATGGATCATTCTTACAAGATCTTCCTATAATTTATTTATATCATATCTCTGCAGCAGAGGCCTAAATGATAGACATGTCATCTACTTTTCAAAGGTCAAACCTAGGCCATATGATGGATAATTTCACAAATATAAATTGCCCCTTAACCTATGATTGATAGAGGGATCCTAGGAGGAGACGACTGGGTCGTCATGATGAAATTGCATGTAGAATATGGGCTATAGGATCAATCCTTGATCTTGAAATTGCATTTTTCTTTATAGAATAGAGTCAATTTAGAGTTGAAGTTCTTGAGTAAATCTTCAAAATTAATGGGTAGAATTTATATAAACTGATATCATAGCCTAAATTGGTGTTCTAGGGCTTTGAAATTGAAGAAATCAACTGTCTTTGTGCAAAATTAAAATTTAGTGTGGAAGAGGAGATGAAGAAACCAGATTTTGCCGTCAATTTACCGACTTTTTACCACCCTACCGATGCGTTGGCCCACCATCAGAATCAGGATATCAAGCAGAGCACTCAACATCGGTGCGTGAGGTAGGCGTTACCGGACGACGATGACCATTACTTATTTTTGATTTTATGCCTTAGTTTGATTTTTTTATCATTTTTCAAAACTAGAGCCTTTTTATGTTTGTAGATTTTAGGGCTGCTCTTCTTCATCAATCAAGAAGCCTCTGCATAAAATTTTTTGACAAAAAAGTTGCAACCGTTAGAGTTGAAAAGTAATTGACATCTTCTCGATAAATAAGAATACGTATATTTTTTGCTTGTTAAAAAATGTTGTTAGGTATTTAATGTAATTGGCAAGTCTGTGAACAAAAGGGACTTAAATTGATATGTTATAAAAGTCAAGAAGTAATGTGAAAATAATAGAAAGTTATGTTATATTAGGTCTAAGGTTCGAGAATAGAAAAGAAGGAAACACGGTGTCGGAATATCGCTCGCTTATCATAAGGTTTGGCTCAAGCGTCAGAAACAAAAACTGCGTCGCTTGCCTGTCGTCTCGCCTTTGCTCGAGCGACGACCTTTTGCTAGACTGTCGTTCATCCTTCGCTCGAGCGATATTGTTATCTAGGAATTTTTTAGTTCGTTTTTTATAGAGTTTTTATCTGGCCCATTTATTCCTTAACCTAACCTATAAATACCAAACGCCAAACAATTTTTTTAGAAGGTTAATCATTGAGCAAACACTTAGCTTTTCATATTCTATTCATCAATTACTCTTCAACCTTCGTTATTCACATAGTGATCTATTCTTGGCGGTGATAAAAATATCAATTTCATAATCCAAATACCAAACTGTTGCTTCCTTCATATCTGTCAGAGATTTTGAAGATCAAGAGAAGGTGACTGAGTTCCAGTCATTGAAGAACGCAGTGTTCTTCATAAATCTACAGGAGATTGACGATTTCACAAAGTTGAGAATTTCTGGAGGAGCGCAATCCACGAGAGCTTTGGAAATTGCAGCTGGGAGTTGGTACAGGAGCATAAAATACAGGAGAGCTGTTGGAATTGTAGTCAGGAGATCAGATGTACATGTCATCGTCTAGTCTGGTAGACTGTAAGTTATAAATTGTTTATAGTGGATTGCTGACTAACAAGTATTCGAAGTTTTTACCCAGTTGGGGTTTCTCCGTGATCATACAGTGCGTTATTTATTGTTTTATATACTATTTTTATGTTATGTGGTATTCAAATATAGGATAATTGAACTTATTGCATAATTATCTAGAGATAATTAATTAGTGATTTGTTGCTGGTTAATTATAATTTATTAATTTCGCATTTACACATATTCACCCTCCTCTAGGTATAATTTGGGTCGAACTTTATATTTTCAATTGGTATAAGAGCCTTATCTCGTTTCCTGACCCTTAATTAATTTTAGATAAGTTGGTTATTGTTCGTACCTTCCTTTTTCGATGGAAGCAACTATGCTTATTGAAAAGTTTGAATGAGAGCCTTCCTTAAAGTTTTTGACGAATGTATTTAGATTAGCATTCAAACTGGGTGGACTCCACCTTCAACTACTATTGTTGGTGTAGTTACACCTACTGATATCTCACTTTGGAGTAAAGAACATATAACTGAGTGTAACTGGAACAATAAAGGCATTCATTCCCTATTCATGGTTGTGTCTACTGAAGAGTTTAGGGGAGTTTCGATGTGTGAGACTGCTAAACAAGTTTGGGACATCTTAGAAACCACACACGAAGGAACTAAAACTTGTTAAAAATTCTAAACTACAGATTTTAACCTCTTAGTTTGAAGAAATTAGAATGAAGGACGATGAATCGTTTGATGAATTCTATGTGAAGCTGAATGATATAGTTAATTCGAGTTTTAACCTAGGTGAAAAGATTCCCGAGTGCAAGATCGTTAGAGAAGTCCTTAGATCCCTACCTGAAAGGTTTAGACCTAAAGTCGCTGCTATTGAAGAACGTAAGGACTTAGATGCAGTTAAGATATAAGAACTCGTAGGATCCCTTCAAACCTATGAACTCACCGTTTCTCAACCTAAAAAGGTTAAATCCATAGCCATGAACATTGTTAGATAAGAAGATAGTAGTCTACAGATGCTAAGATGCTTATGGACGACGAAATAGTTTTTTTCATTAAAAAATTTCGGAAGTTGATTAGGAATAGGAGAAACCTCAAGAACGGAAAAATGAAGTTCCTAGTAGATTTTCAAATGATAAGCATAAAAAGAATAAGTCTAGGACTGCTAATAAGAAAACTCACTCTATTAGATGTCATGAATGTTAGGGTTTTGGTTACTATAGGAATGAAAGTCCTAATTTAAAGAACTTGAATAAAGGAAGGCATAAGGTATTAGTAGTGACCTTGAGTGATGATGAATCAGATTCGAGTGATCAGAGTGATACCTCCGGTGGTAAAGATGAACAAAATTTCATGGCCTTTACATCTATAGTTACGATAGTATCCAATAAGAAAAGTGAAAAGTTGAGATTGAAAAACGTAGTGATAAGTCTGAGGGAGAGTCTGAGAATGAGAGAGAGAGAGAAACTCATAGGTAACCTTCAGAACTCTACCAAAAATATGAATGAGTAGACACTTGTTAATTAGAACTTAGAAGCCAAAGTTAAATCCTTAACAAGTGATCTTGAAAAATCTAAAACTCAACTTCATTTGTTCATGAGTGGTAGCAAAAACTCGACAATCTGTTAGGGATGAACAAGCCTCTGAAAATAGGCATGGTCTAGGTTATGTTCAAAATGGTGATACTACTGCTAGTACATCCAAGACCACGTTCATCCCAACCACTAACAAAGCTCGGAATACTGTTAATCATGAAACCAAGGGCACAAATATCTTTGGATCAATACCTATTAGACAACGTAGGGTCAATCGTCATATTTATCGTCAACAACCTCCAAGTAATTGTGAACCTAGATTTATTCCCACTTGTCACCATTGTGGCGCACTAGGACACACAAGACATAGGTGTCGTAAACTCGTGACTAGGAATAAAAGTCAGAATTTCTCTAACAATACTGACTTCCTAGCTAATTAGGTTGACTATTTAACTGAGATGATAATTCAGTTAAGTAGGATCACTTCTACTTCTAAAAAGGTTTGGGTTAAGATGAGTGACCTGAAAGG